CCGCCCCCGTGTATTTTTTCCCCTGCCCCGGGGTACTGCCGGAACGTACCCTGGGTACGGTCCGGTATACCAAAACGTACCCTGGTACTATATTATATGCCGGACCGTACCTCACCTACTCCACTAACGAGTCTAGAGTCGCCTACGCCTACTCCCTGACCCTAACCCGAACTTAGGTACCCTATCAGCTAGACCGAATAATTCTGTCCCATATAACCTTTTTTATATTTTGGTGAGGGTTATATTGGGACAGAACGGGGTTCATTGAAATTTTGTGAGATCGCATGCAAAATGCATGCGCTGCGAATGCGGTCCGTACGCCGCTATTGGCGCGAAAAAAACCCTACCGTTTCCTTCTACGTGACTTTACCTTGCTACAGATATGTGTATACATTCACTTCAATCGTTATTCACTTCTTAAAAGATTGTTTTTCAGAAACCCTGCTTCATTAACTTTAGTAAATTACGTTGGCCATTTACAAACAATCCGACCAATCAGAGCGAGTGTTACAATAGCCTGGTTCTCGCTTGCAAGGAGCCCTTGCTCGCTTGTATCTGTGGCGCTGCAGGAGGGCAGATAGACTCGCTCTGATTGGTCTCATTGTTTGTAAATGGCGAATGTTATTTACGAAAGTGGAATGAAGCGGGTTTCTGAAAAACAACCTTTTAAGAAGTGAATAACGATTGAAGTGAATGTATACACATATCTGTAGCAAGGTAAAGTCATGTAGAGGGGAACGGTAGGGTTTTTTTCGCGCCAATAGCGGCGTACGGGCCGCATTCGCAGCGCATGCATTTTGCATGCGATCTCACGAAATTTCAATGAACCCCGTTCTGTCCCAATATAACCCTCACCAAAATATAAAAAAGGTTATATGGGACAGAATTATTCGGTCTACCTATCAGTATCAGCCAAACTTAGGTACTTGTCGTATCAGGTACTACATATTATATATGAATTCATGTACACACAAAGTGTAGGGCCTACCAGACTTGTACTACAGAAGTGTACCTGTACCCTAACCCTAAACATACCTCATATAAAAATATAAACATAATACTAAACAACCTAAAACTACGTCGGGTATATGTACATGTGCCTGATACGACAACGACCCTTCGTGCTCATCTGGGCGATGGGTTGCCGCATATTCACTTCAATACTTACACTATAGCTTTAGCAGTATTCAACGAAACCGGTGGCTTAAACTCAATAAACGCAGTAGTTATAAAACACAAAAAAGTAAGTCCGGCTAATGTACTTAGCGTAAATGCAAAAATTGCATTTAGTCGAGAGAAAAACGTGTTCATTATTCCTGTGTATTTATTACACTTAATTTGCTATGGCTACGTGTTCTCTTACCGAGATATCTCGCGAGAAAGTGAAGTTCCGGACATGAAATCGTTCTCTTGTTTCTGTGTCATAATCGCCCGTACCGGCTGGAGTATATCAGGAGTAGATAATAGGGAACTCCTGAATATATCCACCCCCGCATGGGATTTGTCGGGATTTGTCTGCTTATCCGATTTCTCCGATATTTATCCACACCATGTATACACTAAAGATCTGCTTTAGTAATCCTAAAGATTGTTGTATTTTCTATACTATAGTGTGTGAAAACGACGACGTGTGAAACTATAATGTGTGAAAACGCGACTGTCCAAATTCAAGCATAAATAAGCATATATATATATATGTGTTGTGTGTGTATGTGTATGTGCAGGCCGTAGCAGTAGGGGTTTGGGGGGTTCGAACGAACCCCCCGAGCCTTCCCCCAGCCAAAAAATTATTTGTTTTTAATTTGCAAGATTTTCACGTCAGGTAATCGTTCCGTTTAGTTGTAATAATATGCAAAATCTCTATCGTGCAGGAGAGAAGTAACAGTGAACACCCCTCCCACTCCCCCGCCTCGGAATCGCTTGAGCTCCTCCTGGTCGCTTCGCGCCCGAGGGGGGGCGTAAATTGTAAGGGGGGTCCAGGGCAGTCGGACCACCTTTGCTCGCGCCAGAAATAAGCATTGTCTGAGCAGGGGTGTAATTTAAAATTTTACCCAGACCCCCCTTTCGCTGCTCGCATAACTATTGGGTTAGCGGTTAGACCCCTGTGACAACCTGTAATCACGCGCCTGCCGAGCAAATTGCAAACATTGAAAACGAACCCCCTCCCCATGGAAAGATGGCCTAGCGACGGAATCCTGTATGTGTGTGTGTGTTTGTGTGTGTGTGTGTGTTGGTGGTGTTGTGTTGTGGTGTGGAACACTGTGTGTGTGTGCTGTGCTGCGGTGCGTGCGTGGTGCGTGCGTGCGCTGCGTGCGATGCGTGCTTGGTGCGTTGCACATGGTGTGTTGTAATTAACCGTATCTAGCATAAATAAAAGGGACATTTCGAATTTTGAGCACTAACTATATTACATTGTATTATAATGTGTTAAAGTGTATCAATATTTTGAATTCAGCGTGTCCTCGAATCACGTACGGTACGCGCAAGCTTTTGGTATCGATATACGCGTGGTCAACACCGTCTTTCGTTGTGCGTTAGCTGTATTTAGGCAGACCTCCGAGGTCACTTGCGGTGAGCCGAAGCCACTTTTGAATACAGGCTTTATATAGCCATATACATAGATATACATAAGTCATCAATATGTATCCAAATATATCATAAATGTATTATATACTAGAGCGGTCAATATAATTTTTATTGATTCTAGATTTTTTATATCTTATAATATTATTATAGTATAATATATATAATTTATATGTATTAATATTGACTATGTACTTGCTTGATCTATCCATTTCTTATGGCATTGTCGAACTGGCTGTGCTGCCCTGTTTTGAATGTATCAACTTATTGCATGAAAATTTCGGTTAACCATATTTTATTTCTAACTTACGAACGTTCTGAACAGTAACTGAACGAAAAGATAACATGCTAGAACGTTAGTGGTTTGTATATGGCGGGGCCTTAAATGCAAGTCTTTTCTTATTTCTACTGGTTAATGATAGAATGTTATATATAATCTATGCTTAGAATCTTTCTTATTTTTGAATGCCTAATTTTTGCAAAATAATCTGTTTGTGATATGCGCATGCGCGAGCACCTTTTAGGGTTGCAATAGGCACTAAAGAATTGTCATAATATGCTTTATGAGGGGAGAGTGAAGGCTCGAAGTAAAAGGCCCAGAGGAATATGTGATGGCGGGAGAAGAAGACGGAGCGCTGGAGAAAGGAACAAGGAGACAAAGAGGAGGTTGGGAGGAGATGAGTAGGGTGTTAGCTAAGCTCCGGGCGCTCTACTAAATTAAGCAAGGCATCTACATAATATAATTTATTAATAAATCTATGTTGATC